CGCGCATCACGCCCACTCCCGTCGTCGTCATGGGAAGCCACGCTCTCTCTGCCTCCTCATCCGCACCGCGCATCACGCTCACTCCCGTCGTCGTCATGGGAAGCCACGCTCTCTCTGCCTCCTCATCCGCACATACGCGCTGTGCCCGGTCCGATTGACCGCTTGACCGACGCCGGACGTCGAATCCTAGTCCGATTTTTCGGCGCAACACTATTTCCACTCTGCTCGGCTGTGTTTTTGGCACAGCGCCATTTCCTCTCAGCCTTTCCCTGTTTTCGGCGCAGCAGTGTTTCCTCTGAGCTATTCCATTGTTTTCGGTGCAGCACAATTTTCTCTCAGCTTGTCCGTGTTCTCGGCGCAGCACTATTTCCTCTCAGTTCGTCCGTGTTTTCGGCGCAGCACAGTTTTTACTGCCGGATCGTCTGTATTTCGAGCACAGCACAGTTTCCTCTCCGATTGCTTGCATTTCCGGTGCAACATCATCCCTTCTCATTCGCCCGTGCCTCCGGTGCAGCACTGTTTCCTCTCAGCACATCTGCGTTTCTGGTGCAACAGTGTTTCCTTGCCGATCGTCTGTCCGTCTGCGCTGCCGCTGCCATCTCCTCGCGTCGTCGTCTGCTAGGTGACGGTTGCCATGACGATCCCACGCGCAGAGCGCGCGTCTGCCGCACAGCCGGTGCTGACCAGAGGGCGCCACCATGCTCACACCGGCCGTTTCCTGGAAAACACAAAGGAGATGTTGTGAGAGCTGACAGATAGATAGACGGACAGGCAGACTGACGGACAGACAGACAGACAGACAGACAAACAGACAGACAGACAGACAGACAGACAGACAGACAAACAGACAGACAGACAGACAGACAGACAGACAGACAGACAGACAGACAGACAGACAGACAGACAGACAAACAGACAGACAAACAGACATACAGACAGATCTAAAAGGCCGACCTATGCTAATGCCCACTCACCCCCCTCAGGCCATTTCTCCCATGTGCACCATCGCCACGACAACCGGTCGCTCGCGCTTCATCCCCCCATCGTGTGGCTTCGGTGAATCGGCTCGAGCATCGAGCGCGAGGGATGCGGATGCTGCCGATCCCCCCGGGGCTTCCGACATCATCCGACAATCGCGACAGATTGATTACGACAACGTGTGCCGCCGACTGATGAGTGGACCGAGGCTTCACTGATCACTGATTGCCGCGGATGCTGCGCGCATCCTCATCCTCATCCTCATCCTCTCCTCATCCGCTGCTTCGTCGTTATAGTAACTAAGGGAGCATCACTTCAGCCTTCCAGTCTTCAGTACTCCCACTCACCAGAACGATGCTGCTACGACCATGCGGCTGCTGATGCCCCGCTGTGTTTCCAGTGAAGTGTTGAACTGAATGATTTCATACAGAGAGAGAGAAAGAGAGAGAGAGAGAGAGAGAGAGAGAGAGAGAGAGAGAGAGAGAGAGAGAGAGAGAGA